GGCAGAATTCTGTGGACACAATTCAAGGATAAGCTAATGGTCCTACAGCAAGTCAGTAATTACCAGTCAGATATAAGAGGTTACCTTCAAGCATGAGGAATAGCTTCTTGGCGAGTCCTCCCAGATAAACCTCCAAGTCATTCTTCTTTCCCGCCAGTTCGCCAGCTTTGTCGCTCAGGACCATATTGGCATTCTTCAGTCGAGTGACTTCCAGGTTGGCCACGTCGAGAGCAGCTTTCAGATTAGTGTTTTCCTCTTCAAGTTTGCTGACAGAAGCCAACTTCTCTTCTGCAAGTTTTGTCTTGTCCGAAGCCGTTTTCTGCGCCTCGGCGAGGTTAAGGTCCTTCTTCTTCAGAGCATCCTTCAGTTTTTCTGCAAAAATCACAATAAGATCATACTCAGAGACAGGCAAGAAGCAAAGACAGTCGTCAAGATTCTCATCAAACATACCTTTTGCCTCCTCCTTCGACTTCGTGAAGTTTTCTTGGACAAGCTTCAGGTCAAGTTCAAGCTGGATATGCTTGTTCTCCAACTCGGTATAACGAGAAACGAGGTCACAAGATTTCTGCGAAAGTTCAGTCGACAAACATCAAAGATAGATCACTTCCGAGTGACTAAGAGAAAAATCGTAGTATTTCTAAGACTACAGCTGAATCTAAACATTCAACTGTAGTCTCGGGGACTACACCCAGTGGGTGCACTCAGCGTGCCCCCACTAGTTCTATCAGCTAGACTTAGAGTCGATCAGTCGACCGGAAGCAGCTAACTGCCAGCAGTTAGACCAAAAAAAAGAAAAAAAAGAATTATTCAGACCATAGCCGACTGCTAGCAGTCGACCACGGTCTCGGGGGCTACACCCAGTGGGTGCACTCAGCGTGCCCCCATCGGTTCCATGATCCCACTCGACCAGTTCGAGTGAAACAAGTAAAAGTGAGAAATTTCAAGACACAAAGACTACAGTCGACTGCCAGCAGTCCACCGTAGTCCCGGGGACTACACCCAGTGGGTGCACTCAGCGTGCCCCCACTAATCCTGACATTCCAATTGACACACCCAGTGGGTGCATGACAAACATTAAGATTTTCAGTCGGCGTCCGACTAACCTGGACATTGCTCTGAAGAGCTGAACTCGCATCATAAGCTGCTTGGCTGGCGGTTCGGATCACTTTCACCTGCTCCATCATGATCCCTCCTTGACGAATGGCTTCTTTGGCAGCGCTCGCTTGGTCCTCCGGGACATGGTACGTGGAGTAGAGAGAAGGTGGATCAACACTCGACGACGAAGGGCGGGCAACCGTCAACGGCTCCACAAAGGACACGGTAGCCCGAGCAACATTGCTCCCCTCCGGAATCAGCGGTTCAAGTGCTAACAAAACCTGAGCAGCCTTGCCAACAGTCGCCTTCCTGCTCCTCCTCTGCCTCAGTGGTGCTTCATCGTCATCGTCAGGGAGTTCGGTGATAACGCTAGGTGGAGCTGCAGAAGAAGTTCAAAGTCAAAAATAAAGATCCAATCGACCGAAAGCGAAACTGCGCAGATCATACCAGGATGAGAAGTAGCAGCATCTTCCATTTCTTGATCCTCATGCCTGGCTGAAGTTTCAGAAGTAGCAGGACTGCGATTTCCAAAAATCAGTTGGTCGGCGATTGAGTCGACCAAGAATATATCCATGTTAAAAGGAAAAACATGAGTTATGCTGTTACCCAGAAACGGTCGGAATCTCCATCCTCATCTTCGGCAGGGCCTTCGCCGGTTTTGTCGGGGCCGCTCGGGGTTGCTTCGACGCCTTCTCAGTCGGCGCCGAAGAAGTCGTCCGAGGGCGTTTCGTCGATTGACCAGCAGACACGACTCCCTTCCCGCGTTCGACCGCAGGGTGGTGGGCGAGCTTGGACCTTCTTTCAGAACAGGGAGGCACAACTTCCTCCTCCTCTTCCTCCTCATCGGAGCCTGCATCTTCGTCACCCTCATCACCATCCAATTCCCACTCCTCTTGACTTTCACCTCCACTTCCTTCCTCCTCCTCGGCCTGCGCTTGCGCCCCGTTGGGCATCGAATACAACTCAGTGGTCTCCTGAAAGACAACAAGCAAGACAAAAGTCGATCAACTAGTCCGCGACGAAACAGAACGGACGGAACGTGAGTACAATCGGAGAAAAGTGATCATACCTTGTCTGCCTCATAAGATTGGTCGAGTGGCGGGATCCTCCTGGCTCCACGAGGGTTGTCCTTGTTCCCTGTGATGGCAGTCATCCACCTCTCCAGTGTGGCATCGTCGACCTCCTCTGGGTGGACCCGAGTGGTGTCTTCAGTACCAGAATACAACCACATCGGGTGGCCCTGGTACTGGAGTGGTTGGATGCGCCACCGAAGGAAAATCTCCAGAAGATCCATGCCAGTCACACCGTCGCGAATCAACTGGACTACCCGCTCCATCAGCATTTTTACTTGAGCCTTCTCCTCCGGAACTACTTTCAGAGATGATGGATTGTTCACTCGACTCATAGAAAAGGGAGGGAGCCCAGTCGACTGCCCTGGCGTCGGCTGGTCTTGGCAGTAGAACCAGGTCGACTGCCACCCTCTGACTGACTCGGGAAGGGTCATAGCCGGGAAAGCACTCTTACTCCTCATCTGGACCCCAAGCCCCCACAAATCTGGATTACCTGAGTTCTCTCGTCATTTGGGTTGGCCTTTTTCACCTTCTGAGAGCGACAAGTGAATATGTGTTTGAAGAGGCCCCAGTGCGGCCGACAACCCAAGAAGTTTTCACACAAAGATACAAAAGCGGCGAGATAGGCAATGGAATTGGGTGTAAAGTGGTGAAGCTGAGCCCCAAAGAAATTCAGAAACCCTCGAAAGAAAGGATGCGACGGCAGAGAGAACCCACGATCTACATGAGTTGCTAAGAGGACACACTCACCCTCCTGAGGCTGCGGCTGCCACTCCGTCCCCGGGAGCCTCGCCGCCCCGTGCGCAATCAGGCCTTCGTTGGCCAGGTCGTCGAGATCCTTTTGGGTGATGGTCGAGCGGATCCAATCACCCTGGATCCAACCTTGCGGCAGACGGGACCACGACGAGGATCCGCCTCGACTGGTCGCTCTCCCCTTCACCTTCGTCGTTGCCTTCTTCGCCCGCTCCAAAGCCGCCGTCCTCTCCTTCACCATTGTCGCCGACGAGGATGGAGCGGAGCAGCGGTGTTGAGCAGTTGGCGAACGCAGCGGGGGAATCTGGAGACGAGGGAGGGGGAAATGAGGGAGCACTGTTCAAAAACCTCCGCCTGGTCCCTTATATAGAGTCGCTTCCGAGTGGCTGACGGGTAGGCCCGGGCAATCCTGTCAAATCCCGAAACAGTCGCACATGCGATACGTGGCGAAAAAGGCGGCACGGGAATCGAGGCGTCTCTGCCTTATCCCATCCGAGTACCGCGGTCTTCTCCGCTTCGCGCGCTTCCCAAAATTCAGATCCCACTAAATCCGCTAACCGTAGGGCAACTTGTCAGACGGAAGATCTCCTGTGATCCGTCGCTCAGAAATCTCCAAGTTCATAAAGTTCACTCGACAGATATGAAGAATGGATCAAGGCGACTGAAAGAAAGTTGACATCCTCACTTGAAAGTCATTGATCCAGAGCAAAACACCTTTACAACATCAGGAAATAGGTCGGAAAATTTGCCAACTCCTTCCTCACTCAAACCTCGATCCATTCGGGGGCTAATGATGAAGTCATGTACCTAGGGTAGGGGCATGGACCTGTCCAAGGTATCCTCCCCAAGGACATCTTTTAAGAAGAAGCCGTCTTCCAATCGACCAAGAGGAACTCCACTCGACGGACTAGAAGACACTCGACGAACATGAAGACACTCGACCATGAAGACTCACTCGACCACCAGGAGTTCAAGATCTACTCCGTATCCAAACGGTCTGTAATTAAGTAGTCTTTATGGTCATGATGACACTTTATGTAAGGCGTTACCAGTAACACCGGACCTTAATGTACTTTAACCCTCCGCTACGTGGGCTGGCTGGGGTCTTGGCGTCCTCTATATAAGCCACCCCCTCCACTGGTAGAAGGGTTCGCACCCCTGTAACTCTCACACATATAATCCAGTCGACCGTCTCCGGGCTCCGAGACGTAGGGCTGTTACTTCTTCCGAGAAGGGCCTGAACTCGTAAAACACTTGTGTGCACAACTACTCCATAGCTAGGATCTTGCCTCTCCTTAGTACCCCCCTACACTACTGTCAGACTTAGAACCACGACACTGGGAACAACTTAGCTTAAATCGGAATCTGGTTCACATCTCCCTTTTGCTAGACCTAAGCTTAAACCTAGCCAACCTATCGCCACATGCGCCGCTAGGAAACAAACACCTTCTTTCTCCCTCATGAATGCAATTCAATGGCCTTCCCTATAGTCGTTTGTGTGAATTTAGGCAACAAACCTTTTGCCAGTCGAGCAAATTTTCTATAAATTCAAATCAAACTTTGGACCATTGGATCTGAATCCGGCTCTATCTTCACCCCGCTTCCCAGTTGTCCAGATCTCTAAACCCTAACACTAGTCAATCCATCAATTTCTCAAACGCGCCGCCGGGCGTAGCCATCCACCCATGTCTCGAACGCGACGACAAGCGGCGCTCGCCCTCTTCACTTTTTCGCTCATCTCTCGCCCCTCCACCATAGGCGTAGTCTCGTAGATGTCATCTCCTTGTCGCTAATGTCTCCATGCGCCTGATTACGCCATCTCCCATCACTCATCTAAGTCGTCGCAAATCCCCTTGGTCGCAGCCGATATATCTTGTTCAAATTCTAATCTATGTATTTAATTTCAAGCATTGATATGCAACACTACTACGGACTGTTTTTTTGTTCTTGTTGAACAACTGATCCAACAGTTTGAGCAAAAAGCTAAACTGAACAAAAGAAGGGGAACAAAAAAGAAAGATGAAGAAAATAAAGCTAAGAAAGAAAAGTCGAGCCTACTCTAAAACTATTCCCCCGGCATCATCACGAAAAGTTGACGCAGACGCTGCCGTTCTTGGCGCATCCGCACGACGGGCACGCCTGCGCCGAGGCCGCGCACGGCGCGCACACGCAGAGGTGCCGGCACGGCAGCAGCAGCACGACGGCCGCGCCGTCGCCGCACCCCTTGCACCTTCCGACTCCCGTCGGGGCCGGCGTGCCCACCTCGGCCTCCTCCTCCTCCGCGCAGACGGGCGCCTGGTTCTCCCCCCAGCAGCACGACTCGGCGTCGTCCTGGTCCTGGCCGTCTCCGCCGCCGCGGACCGCCTGCGCGTCGAGCACCCGCTGCAGGTCGGCGCGGAGCACGCTGGCGGCGGCGTCGTGGGACTGCGCGACGTCGCGCCACATCTGCGCCTCCATGTAGAGGCTCCGGAGGCGCTCCTCCAGCGCCCAGTTCATGCCCCTGACCCGCTCGATCTCGTCGTCCTTGGCCTTGAGCCGCTTCGCCGCCCTGGCCTCCACGGCGGAGACGATGAGCCGCAGGTGGCTCCGCCGCTGCTCCGCCAGAGCAGCCCACATCTTTCTCGCCTGCATCATGCATCCACCATCTCCGGTTAACAACAAACAAACAAACAAAAGCCAGAGAGAAAAGCCTGATCAAACGCGGCGGTTAATTTGATGATCACGGGACTCACATGTCTGTGCAGGATGTGGTCGACGGCGACGGCCTGCTGCTGCGCGTGGGCCGCAAGGACTTGGCCGAGCACCGACGAGGACGCCCCCTCGTCGACGCGCCTCCGCTTGTTGCCGGAGGTCATTTCCTGGGCGCCGTCGCCCTTCCTCAGCAGATCGACCGCGGCCAGCGCCAGCAACTCCGAGTACTGGTCCGCGGCCGACATCGTCGGGGGCGGCGGCGTGAAGACGTCCGCGTACGGCTGGCACCCAAGCTGCTGGCCCGTCGCGCCGGCGCCGTAGCAAGGCCCAGTCATAACGGCGGTGGGGGCGCCCGGCCGGCCGGCGAGCTGGTGGTGGCCGCCGCCGGTGGCGAGCAGCATGTGGCGCAGGCGCTGCAGGTCCACCGCCATGGCGGTCTGCTCCTGGGCGGCACGCACTGGCAGGCCGCCTATATACACACGCAGGCGATCGAGGAGCCAAGGGAAGGCGATGGCGATGAGTTAGTGAGATGCGGGAGGAGCAGTGGGAGGCGAGGTCATGGACGGATCGCGCGGCGATGGATGGATGGGCAGCGCGGCCGGGGTGGCGAGGAAAGAAACTCAGAAAGAAACAAGGAGGTCCGTCCCGTCCGTCGTCGGATGGCAGGCAGCCGAGTATTTATGGTGCGTGACCGGGCGGGGTGGGTTTTGGTTGGCGTCCACGTTTCATGGCCTGGCCTTGGCGTCGAGTGAGAGGAGGAGAAAGCAACTGACGATGAGATCGACCCCCCGATTATATATCCTTCTCGTTTTCAGGGCCGATTTCCTTTTATTTATGCCTTCCGTTTCCTTCAATCAACCTCCCTCCCCCCCTTTAATAATTCGGAGCACTCCTGGCTACTTACTCCTCCTACGTACAAACCAAGAATATATGCACAAGACGCGTGCATATACGCGAAAATATATGCGTATACGGGGTCGAGTCCATGGGTTGATTTTGCATGCAAAAGGAGACCAGATCATCGTTTAAGTTAGTACGTCGTGGCGCCAAATCAGCAGGCGTCGTTGGGGCCGATTTGATCGATCTGCCGCACGAATCTTGAGGTGTAAGGAAACCCAGATCGAAGAGAACAAAATAAATTACGTACTCTGGTCTCCCCTCTGGACTTGGTAAAGCCAGAGTTAGCGGAGGGCGATTCGGAGGAGGAGGAGGAAACTGCATGCATGCATGCATGCGTTCGGCGCGTACGTCCATGGAACTGCATCTGCATGGAACGCATGCACGTACTTTAATGTGCTGAGATACTCCCTCCGGTCCTCAATAGTCTGCGTCCAAGGCTGGTTATAGTGGGGAGTAACTTAGACTAGTAACATACATATGTTACTAATCTATGTTACTACCTTCATAGTGGGTAGTGTCATAGGTGTGGTAACATAGTTGCCTTTATTTATTACTTTGTAGACTCATTATGCATTGGAAACCGCTATGTGATGGTAACATATTATGTTACTCTATTTGCCTCTCTCCTCATTAACTACTTGCCACATCATCATTTTTGCTTATGTGGCATCTATGTTACTACCTATGTTACTCCCACTATGACCAGCCTAAGATTTTTCTGTTTTTCCCTAAATGCTCTGCGTGATCCACTTTTTTAGCACCTGTTTCCAAGTTTACCCCTAATTAAGAGCAGTGCATGCAGTCGGGCAGTAATTACAGTCCAAACGCATGCATGCATAGAGGAGGCAGGGGAAGCATGCGCGCAGAATCCGAGAAGACTCATGCATGAATAGAGGAAAAGGAGCCAATAGCTACATGCGTATTAATAGCCATACATCTTTCTAGCTCGTTGCATGCTGGGGTAAAACAGTCCAAAATAACCCACCGGATGGATTGCTTGGTATGCGTGCGCTGAGTTACACGCAAACTAAAAAAGAACGGAGGGAGTATATACCAGTAGGCGTTTTTTTTGGGTGGCTAGCTGTAGGCAGTTTTTTTTAGGAGGAAGAAACATGTCATACTATAAATATGGAAAAATAATAAGGGAGTAAGTTACAGCGTAGAGGCAGAGACACGCGAGGGCTCAAAATTAGCAAGGAAATGAATGAGCTAGAGTAATTGATTCTTGCCTGTATACATCTGTGCAAATCCGGCCGATCGATCTGCACGTTTAATTTGGACGAAAACTACGTGCGTACGACAGCTTTTTGATTTAATTTGATTTCGAAAAAAGATCTCTACTGCCTAAATTCTAGGGTAGGTACTATCGCCTCCGTCGGTCGTCTTCAATTGCGGGATATATATACATGATACTCACGTACGTAACCTCGGCGCCAAACCGACCACCAGCCATTCAAATACATGGCTTGTACAGGTGTTAAAAAAAACATGGCTCATACAGCTGTACAAATACGATGCAGATCTGCACATACACTGCACAAACACACAAGTGTATATATCTTTGGCAAAAACATACAGTAGTATTTTTTAGCAAACGGCCAAATCGTTATAAAGTAGTACGTACATATCCATCTTTGGAGAGCAGTAACGAACGGCCAAACAATCAGCGAACCTAATCGCTACGCTACTACGGGCATGTACAATGGTGCTATCTTAGTAGTGCCACGTAGGATCAATGATGAGGTGGAAGAGAGAGAACTCATAAGAAAAGGCTTGTCTTCTCTTATTTAAGAGAAGACAAGAGATGATCTCTTAGCACAATATGTCTCACCACGTTTTTAGGAATTGCTAGTTATTGAAGATAAGACTAAGAGATGACCCATTGTAGACTCTCTTTTTTGTTATCTCTAAATTACATGCAAAACTTAAGATAAGACTATCTTATCAACCATTGTACATGCCCTACTACACGTATAATCCGGAGAGCACTGGAGTTAATCAATGGATTGCAGTTTTCGCTTTATTTTATTTTATTAAGAGGGATCTGCAATGGACCTTTGTGCGCAAGGAAGCAAGGCGTGCATTAATTCAAGCGGGAGCACTACGCGGATAATTTCACGGAGGCGTTTCGGCTTCTTCTTCTTCCTCTGGAAAAGAAAAGAAGGACGGAACAGCTTTCAAGGAAACGCATGCATGCGGACGGGAGAGATGATCGGACGGACGGGCGGGCGTGCGTGTCGCGCGCCGCGCGAATAGCTCCACGTGCAGCGCGGTGGCACTCTCCGGCGCCACCGATCGAGCTGGACAAAAGCTTTGACGTGTCTCGAGACGCGCGGGCCGGCAACGTGGCACTTGCCATGTCACGCGCGCTTGGGGCTTGTACTGTTAGACCTTGTACAATGAGAGATGCTTAGAAAAATAAACCAGATTTTTCTGAAGCACCGGTGTCTATTTCTATAAGAGAGACGCTTAGTTAAGCGCATATTCTGTATAAATAAGCACCGGTGCTTAAGAAAAGTCTGGTTTATTTCTCAAAGCATTTTCCCTAAGCACCTTTCATTGTACAAGGCCTTATGAGCATCTACGCCACGGAGCCTCGAACTTTATTGACGCCTTTCTGAGAAAAAAAACCCCGAAAAGGAGAGTCCTTCCGCCGGCAAGGGCCGGAATCCACCGCGCCGTCATGGCCCTAAGGCCAACGAAGACCAGGTGGACCGGCTCGGGAGGCAGAGGAACCCTATAGGGTTTTCATACTATCGGATGTTGTTTCTTTTTTTTTTAGAAAAGATTCACCCACTTATAAATACTTATCGGATGCTGTTTTCTCTATTGACGCCTTGCTACAATTTCTGTATTTTACGCTTAATTAACAGAGAGAACCCTAAGTCAAGATGATACCGCTCACGTGCGTGTTATCACAAGCTAACAACTAGACGTACGTCGAGGCGGCTAACTCCATGACTTCTTTCTTTTCTTTCACGACGGAAACCCTAGTCTAGTCTAGTCTAGTCTAGGATATGTGAGACTTGGAGAGTTCACCTCATCTGCACAACCCTCCCCTCATTGGACCGCTCCGGCGCATCAAACTTAGCGCCGCTTGCTTGTTCCCTAGCTTAATTTGTTTACTAGTTTCTCATCAGGGGTACGTGCAGTGCAAGCCTGCAGAGCCGAGTCGAGCTGACCAAGCTGGATAATTGTCGTTAATATATAGCGACTAGATAAGCTACGTACGTACTCCTCAATCAATCCATACGTATACGCCTCTTGGCATGACATTTCAACAAATCTTTTTTTTTTGCGGGGGGACATTTCAACAAATCAACGTATAAAATGGGAGTATCGACAGGTTGATACCCTCATTTTATATACACGGACGTACGTCTGGGTTTTGGATACATGGTGTTTAAATATACACACGCAGGATTGAGCTGGGATTTAGTCTTGTTTTGGAACAAGGGAACCAGCTTGTGTTAGCTGATGCCAGCAACGATGTCACATCAAGCAATTTTTTTACATGGCAATTGACATGTATTAATATTATTCTCGCTTCCATTTGTTTAAATCGCACGTTAGCTCGAGACAGAAAAATGGTTTGGTGGCTGAAATTCAGTACACCTGCTTCGGTACTGGGACAGCTTAGCTCAGAGACGTGTAGGCCAGCTACAAGTTTTCATTCACTCACACAGGACCATTCGTGATGCCAACTTGTAAAATGATGGCACTCCTTCCTCTCGTTTCTCGTTTGTTTTCCGAGTAAATGATGTGCCACCCCTCAACTGTCACCTCACACGATTTGGAAATAGGTAGATAGTTATCAACACCGAATACAATTAATTAACTAGTACTAACATAATGATTCTATGGGATTTTTTTTTGATTTGAACTGCACATACAAGATCATCCAATTAAGAGCGTCCCTTTCGCAGTCCATTCTAATTTTCCTTTCGGGCAGAGTGGTTAGCACACCTGGTGTCATACCGGTTGGCTTCCATTTTCATGCCAATAGCCATACACATCAACAAATTGGCACCAATAAGTGCGTGTAATTTACATCCGCCTTCATTTGCCGAAGTGGAGATGTTGTCGACTAAGCTAAAATACTATATCAGCATGTCATTATCATCAACAAATATATCGCCATGTCAATATCATCAACAAACGAGCATACGGTATTGCCACGCGGTACGTATTAATATATACATGGATGTCCTCAAGATTATTTCATATATACATGGACGTCCGGGTTTGGATACGTGATGTTTAAAAAAAACATATGCATGCCTGACTTGAGATTTAGTCCTGTTTTGGAAAAGGGGAACCAGCTAGGCAGGTACCAGCAAGGCAGCAACCATATCATATCAAGCTTTATTTACATGGCCATTGACTTCCATTTTTTCTCTTCCATTTGGATGTTTAAAAAATGATTTGGTGGCTAAACATCAGTACACCTGCTTCAGTATTGGGACAACTTAGCTTAGAGAATTGTAGGCTTGAAGTTTTCAGTCATACATGACCTTTTCTTAAAAGGGAT